ACGCCAATTTTCTCAAAAAAAGCACCATTTTTAGAAAGTCATTTAAGTTTGAAATTTCACATAAATTTTTTTTTCTTTTTTATAATGTTAACTTTAAGTTATAATAAGGTCAATCCTTTTTTTTTTGTATCTTGCCTTTTATTGAAAAAATCACTTGAAAATCTCTAATATAAGTTTTTTTTTATCGTTTTATATAATATTCTTCGAAAATTCGAGGTCAAAACATTAAAATGCTGTGCGCCTCAATTANGGTCAAAACATTAAAATGCTGTGCGCCTCAATTAAAATTTTTCCAAATGATTTTAAATTTTCAGAATATTATTTTTTTATACTAAAGAAAAAAATGGAGGGGTGTCCCGAATGAAATTTCGAAATTCGAAAAATAAGGACCACCTTAGTATATATGTATATTAGGGTGGAGGGTCAATCCATGCCAAATCATCCAGAAGTGGTTGCACGACCACCTCATATTTTTCTGAAATTTTCAGAGTTTATTCATTATGCTATATTTAGATTAAAACAATTTTTTTTTTTTTTTTATGATCTTCCCATTTTTATGGCTATTTCAATGTAAAAAAAGTTAAAAATAGCTAGATCGTTAAAAAACACACAGATTATTCAATTTCAACTCAATCGAATTAAAATTTTAGATTTGACCCTATTATAACTTAAAGTTTACATTAAAAAAAAAAAAAAAAATTATGTGAAATTCTAAACTTTAATGACTTTCAAAAAATGGCGCTTTTTTTGTGAAAATTGGCGTTTTTGAGCTCACTTAAAACCATTAAGAAGTTATTATTTTATTGTGATTTTTACATGTGGTATTGTATAGTGTATAATCTATGTTTCAACTAAATTTCAAATATTTACAACAATTATCTTGGGATTTAGAGGCCTACAAAATTAGAAATTTTATAAAAATATGTGTATTCTAAGTGCAATATCTCTGTTGGGTAACCTAATTTCCAAAAAATTTTTTTTTAGTTTTGTATATACGTCTGTTTTATACACCATAAAAATTTGAAGTTTTAGAAAAATGTGTAACATTTAAAATTTAGCATTAGAAAATCAGTAAAAATCAAATAATTTAATGATAGTTTTTTGTTGTTTTCAAACCACATTTTTGTACTTTTTTTTGTATATCATTGTATATGTAATATATTATAATTCAATATAATTATTAGACACGTTATAAATATTCAATTCATTATTTTAGTTCGAAAATAAAAAATTAATTAATTAAATTATTATGATAATATTGTAAAATATTTATAATCATGGTTTTTTTAGTAGTTAGAATATTGTGTCTTCATAAATGTCAGTTAATGATATCTTAAGACTTCTTATAGTAGTAGTTTTTTTAGAGTAAGAATGTCAAGTCTGTTTAGTCCTATTTTCCTTCTAGTGAACATAACAACCTCTGCTTTATTTGGATTAACAGATAGACCATACTTACTACACCATAGTGTTTAGTATCTGTTGTACTAAGTCTATAATAGTGTCTGGGAATTTACCCACCACTGCTATAACTAAGTCATCCGCATAGGCTTGTGTATAACAGTATTTTTTAACTCTCTAATAAGCGAACCCAATACTAGACACCATAGCAAGGGGGATAGAACCCCGTCTTGTGGGCATTCCTTTTTAACACTCTTGATTACTTTGGTCTCATTGATCTGTCCCAATATGGAGCGTTCCTTAAGCATGGATTCTATCCACTTAGTAATAAGTGGTTCCATTCCATGCTGTTGTGTAGATTCACACATAGCATCGAAGAGAGCATTGTCAAAAGCCCCTTCGATGTCCAGGAATATACCTACTGCATACATTTTATTCTCCATAGCTTTCCCTATGTTAGTGATTAAGCAGTGTAGAACTGTATAAGTAGATTTCCCCGTTTGATACGCATGTTGGTTTTAATGTAAAGGGTTCTCTTTTAGAGGTCCCTCCTTGATGTACCTAACAATAAGTTTCAATAATATTTTGCAGAGATGGGGGACGATTATCTCTAACCCTTCTTGCAGGGTAAATTTCATCACAGCCTGCAGCTTTAAAACTGCCAAAGGCTTTTATTGTCCAACTTATTCCATTTGGGGTTATCACTTTCCTGGTTAGTCTCCAATCAGCACAGGTAACACGTTTGTCCTGTGCATCATGTTCCTGTTCTCTGTTGTTAATTGCAGAGTCAGGAAAATGTGTGTTCATCAAATGTGATAATGTTTCATTATCGTTATTGGTGAATATTTTGTCTGGCAGTAGTACTGCCTCGACAATTTTGTTTGGTCTATTCCTTAGTGATCGCAGAAGTCTAGTTGCTATAGGGAGTTGTTGTATATCCCCACAGAACTTCTTTCAGCTTTCTCTTTTGGACTTTTTCAATGCAGATTTGTAGTTCCTTTGGGCGTCCTTATAGGATTCCCAGTGTTGTTCTAAACCTGATATCATTGCTTTATTTTAGAGCTTACGTGAACTCTTTCTTAATTTAGACAGGTTAGCATTTCACCAAGCTACAACCTGTTCTGTACCTTTCCTTTCTATTAAAGTGAAACAGTTTTCTTTATAAGACAAGACAATGGAGTCCTGTAGTATATTTACAGCCGTTTTAGTACTCTGTCTCGACCCCAATCTAAACTGTAGGTTATTCAGGTCATGAGAGAGATCTTTCCTGTAGTTGTCCCAGTTTGTTCTTTTTAGGCTCCTATAGTACTCCGTCTCAACTTTGTTAATTTCCAAAGTGATCGTAAGAGCCTATGATCAGAAAGAGAAGGTTCGGAGGACACTTTCCACCCTTTTATCTTTTGAAGTAACCCTTTTGAGCAAACTGTCAGATCAATGACTTCTTGCCTGTTTTTGATAACAAAAGTAGGTTCACTACCTCTATTCAGTATACTAAAGTCTGTAGTCAGCAATAGATTCATTATAACCTCTCCTCTTTGGTTGATGTTACTGCTCTCCCAAATAGTGTGGTGTGCATTAGCATCCATACCTAAGATTAGTTCTAATTTTTCAATTTTGCAATAATTAAAGAGCATAGTTAGGTCCCTACCTGGATCTGTGACCTCATATGGTAGGTATCCTAAAGCTACTATAATATTTTTATCATCATTTAGTGTTACTTTAATAATAGTCAAGTCTGCACTTAATAGATTAAGTATCAAGCTGACTTTAACTTTATTATTCACCAAAATGCAAGTTCTAGATTTATCTGCTTGTTTATGAAACAGTTTAAAATTCCTTAGATTTAGCCCCTTAATCTGGTCACCATTTATCCATGGTTCCTGAATAAGTGCCATTTGTAAGGGTATAGTATGGCTCACAGTTAGGGTCCTTAGTAATACACTACTGAGCCCTTTACTGTGCTACAGGTTTATTTGCGTTAATTGAATTCTATTGTCAGTCATTCAGAAAAACTGATGTTGACGCTTCAGAAAGCACGCTGTACTGGGTGTGATACAGGTGTCTGAAGTAGTCCCTGTGTCACACAGCCCTCCTTGTGGGTGGGTTTGTGCCTTAAAAACACTTAAAATGCGTAGAGTAATAACATTTTGGAGAAAATGAAATCTCATCTAAAACGACATTGAGAAATATTTTGAAAATACACGTGGTTTTCTAGTATTTTTAAGAGGAATATTCTTAATTAATTTTAAATTATTTTTTATTATTATTTATAGTACAGTAACATATATGTATTTTTGTTATATATTACAGAAATAGATGAAGGTTAGTTAAAAAAATATTATTACAATTTTTAAAATTTTATTTTAATTATTAACCAATTTTATTTTATAAAATTGATATCTTTCATAATTTTGCACATGTATGTAATATTTGTTAAATTTTAAAATATTAATTAAAAATAAATTATTGTACTCAATTATTATAAATATAACAATACAACTAATATTTGATTTCACTTAAAATATATATATTAATTATCAATTACATTTGAAAAGAGGTTAAACAATGTCCGATTTGTTATGATAATTCTACTGTAATTTTATGGTATTGCAAACATCAATTGTGTCAGAGTTGTTCCGAAACATTGATAAAAGGAAAACGATTATGTTGTCCACTTTGCAGAGCAAAAATTTTGTCTTTTTCAGACAAGGAATTGGGTATAATATAATTTTATACGTTTTCTCTGCATAATTTCTTTTGAAAATTTACTTTAATTACGTCTTACCTATGTCAAATTTTTTAGGGTACGTACAAAGTACGATTGTACCAATAGAATTTTTAGCTGCAGCTTACTATCTAGATGTGTGTATTCATTTATATTTTGTAAATTATGGTTGGTTATTGTTCCGTAAAGGCTGGCCAGATTATGATGAACTTAATATGGAAAATGAGAAGTGTATTTATTTATATATGTCGCACACACACGTGGGCGTTATATCTGATGTAACAAATCCATAGATTATTCACTTATAGTGTAATGTCATTTGTATTATTTTATGATAGTACAATAAAAAAACGTTGTAAATTATTTTACATTATTCATTACTAAATATATGTTATATGAACACAAAAAAATCATTGGAGTTTCGGCACAGTAGGGAGATGGCAGCAAGTATTACATTCTCAAAATTTACTAAAAGTATATTATTAAAATTTTTATATTGGATAGTATGATATTGGAAACATGACATAGTTGGGTCCAGTATAGATATAATATGACAGTGATTAAAATCACTAACATAAAAAACGCTTTGATGCAAATCTGTAGATAGTGTTTAATTTTAAAAATTTGGTGGAAAAATGATTTCCTATTTCTTTATATCCTGATTACAAGTTTTATGATTTATAAGTGTAATATATGAATAAATATTTAGTATAGAAACTAAATATAGTATGAAATTTATATTTAATAATTTAGTATTGTTATTGTTACGGAGAAATTATAAAGTAGTTATTATGATGTAATACTTAAAAGAAAAATCGTTTGTTATTTATAAATAAATTTACCGGTCAACAAGGAATTTCATCGAGACTAAAATATACTTTTCTAAATCTATTTCTGTGACGATTTCAAATTTCAAATTTTAGTTTTGTATTTGGACTAAATAATAACACAATTTTTCTAATTAATATAAAAATACATACCAAGCAGAATATATTATGTGCAGTATATCAATATAAATAATTATTTAAACATAAGGTGTTTATAGAAATTAATACTAAAACATTTATTTTAATGATTTATTACAATATAAATTAAAAATAATAGTGATTATAACGAAACTTTGAGTATTATTCATAAATTGTCTGTTAATAGTAATTATATAAGTTTCTGATCATATATTAATCAAAAATACAATATTTTATTTCTCATTAAATTTTCTATTCAAAGATAAAAATTATAAACTTATAAGTTGAACTGAATTTATTTTTAAAATTTCAACATTTTTAAATTATAAATTTCCATAAAAATCAACTTTCAAGGAACAAAAAATTAAGATAAAAATGTCATTTTTAATTGAAATTTTGCACGGATTATATTTAACATATTAAAAATCAATTAATTACATAGTATTATAAAAAGTATTTGACATTAAAAAAGACTTCTGAAGGACTGGAGTATTAATATGTTATATAAAAAATATAAATTGATCCACAAGGATGTAGTAATTATTGGGTAATAGCATTACTAGATACAACGTATAAAATCCTAGTCCTAAAGTTAGTCAATTTAAATGGAATAAAAATCAAATGAACTCTGATTTTTTTCTCCATCTCTTCTTCTTCTTCCNGATTTTTTTCTCCATCTCTTCTTCTTCTTCCTCACCTTAATATCAATTACTTGGGGTAGCCACTTTTATCCTAAACTTTCACGTGACACGATCTCCCACATCCTCTACGCTCACATTAGCTGTCCTCATATCACATTCATGAACAACTCTCCATCTCTTTTTTGGTCGTCCTCTACCTGTTCTTCCTTCAACATTCATTTCTATAACTGTTCTTATAGCTTCCGAATCTTCTCTCCTCATAACATGACCAAACCATCTAAGTCTATTTTCTCTCATCTTATACACGATTGACGCTACACCTCTAGTCTGTGTGTAGGTTCTCAATTAATTCTAGCCAATCAAATTTAACTATTAATTAAGATCTACAGTTTCCAAGATTACACAAGGGATCGTTACACTACCGTCGAATAAGATTAATAACTAACTTAATTCTAATGTCCATTGATATATTAAGTTCAGAAACATTACACTCGAGAAAATAATCATAATTTGTTTTCTACTAGTTGCTAAACGTGTTTGAACGAGTACAATTAGAATAAAATTATTCACCGAATGTATTATTTTAATTCAATTATCAAATTTATGTGACTATGTACTTGTATTTTATCATAGAAATACGTAAGATAATTTGAACACTAATTTAAAGGAAAATTTTCTTTTATTATTACTTAAAACAAATAGAGGGTAGAGGAAAATTTGGACTTAAATAATTATAGAGTAATTAATGTAATAAAAAGCATTTCATTATCACGTAATTAAAAATAATAACTTTTAAAATTATACTACATAATTATATTCT